ATTTATTTGACAGAGAGAGATCACAAGTAGACGGAGAGGCAGGCAGAGAGAGAGAGAGAGAGAAGGAAGCAGGGTCCCCGCTGAGCAGAGAGCCAGCTGCGGGACTCCATCCCAGGACCCTGAGATCATGACCTGAGCTGAAGGCAGCGGCTTAACCACTGAGCCACCCAGGTGCCCCTTGAATTTCTCTTTTAATCCCCATGACTTTTTGCCACCCTCTCTCTCAGGATCTCTAGTAGGCCATAAGCTCCATCCCCTTTATTCAATCAGCATGATTGGGGGTATGAAATAGTTTTTATCAGTATAAAACCAACTGGCTCAACTCACAAATTATTTTAATAATATCCTAATCAACTAAATTCATCTGCCCCAATTTCATATCTTAGAGTCCGAGCAGAAAGGATACAACTTAATATTCTAAATATCATCATTTGAGTCCGGGAACAATACCAACTTGTCACTCTCAAAGCCGCGCTGAAGGTGAAACTGGAGAGTACACTAAAGTTATGCAGAAGCTGAACAACACAAGAAATGAATTCCATGTGAAAAGAGCAGGAAGGGCTGAAGGGTGCACTTAGCTTGTTGTACTTGACACTGCTCTATTTTAGTTCTAGTCCTGGAGAATGCCAGGTGCTCTATTTGCCAGGCAGAAGATGAGCTGCAAACGGTTAGTTCTTTACCTAAGTGATAAAACTCATTAGCAAAAATGTGAGGTCAGGAGAGGATTTCTTAGATTTCAATCATAAAACTAGACTTAAGGCTGTCGAAAGTTGTGACTGGTTAATTTCCACAACATTTAATTTTTTGGAAGTCTTTTTTACTATATGAAGCATTCCACAGAAGACTCACCAGTCTGCCAATTTAAATGAGAGTTTTAGAATCAATTAAATGTGGTATCTCCCCATCTCCACACTTTTATATTCCTACTTAGCATAGGAACTACATATTTTGCTTTGATTTCATGGAAGTTAATTTCAGGCCCTCTTTTCATCAAAGGCAATTTCAGATTTTCAGATGCTTGCTAATATTTACTTTAGAAAGGAAAAAATATATATAGAGAGAGAGACTTGGAAGCCAATGCACTTTCCTTTTTTATGGGTTGCTTTATCAAATATTAAAGAATGAACAGTTTCAACAACTGAAACCCAAGAATGAACAGTTTCAACAACTGAAACCCAATAAGGGTGGAGTATTTGTTCAGACTTCAGCAGTTATACCTGCATCCAAGTTATCAAAGCCCCTGGAGTATCTTTTAAGGAATCTCTTTTGCTTTAAGCTCTGCATCAGTAGCCACCTTGGGTCAGAGAGAACCACACAAAGGAGGGTCTAGGACTATGTCTACAACGTCAAGCTTCTATCAGATTTACACATTGGTGATGATGAATTTCATATGTTGGGCATCCGAATGGAGGCTACATGAGACTGTGGGAAAGGCAGTGGAAATTCATCATCACACAGCATTGTCAGACAGGATAAAAATGTGAAATCTTACCATAGGTTGTTTATTAGAAACACACCTACAATTTACATATACAAACAGAACAGTTTTCAGTAGAAGCAATGGGAGGAAAAGGTATACCAGTCAAACATTATGCAAAAGATGTCAGACAAAATTAACTTTAAAGAAAAGAGCTTTACTTGATATTCTCCAAGAAGACAAAATTTAAAAGTGAAGTAATGTAATGTTTCAAGTGTCTCCTGTGAGCTGGGATTCTTTTCATTTTTATACTATTTTGTAAAGGCAAATGGATTTTTGTGTGTGTGTACTTTCTAAGTGGAATTAATTCCTACCTAGTAAGTTAATAGAGCTTCTTGTCAGAAACAGTGATATTTCATATGAACTCTCTTACTTTAATTTAGATAATCAAGTTTCAGTGGTCCCACATTCTTTCTCCATTTTCAGCATATAAATTATCAACATTACTCAAAATCTCAGTTTCCCTCTGTTATGTAATATGCCAAGGTGGCATGGGCCCAAGGAATAAAATCTTATTCTAATTGCCTACATGTTTACAGGATTAGTTAGTTAAATATGCCATCAAATATTTAGGGATACTGTTTTGTAACAAAAATAAACATTTATTTTATAGTATTGTGTTAAGCATTTTTTTAAAGAAAGAAAATGAACATGGACATTGGATCAGCAACACCATTAGTCTAAGATAGCTAGCTGTTGCACTCTGTACTATTTCATGAGCCTAGGAATTTAGAATATTCTGACATGGCCCAAGCTGAGGGCTCCAGAGTTAGTTTTCTATTTTGTCATACAACAAATTAACAACCTGGGGTAATAACACAGTTTTGAGCCCAAGGTAGTCAAAGCTGTGAGAGTCCGCTCCAAAGAACTACTGCCTTCACGGACTCTTGAGAAATAAAATTTAAATGAATGCATCATCTCCAAATCCACTCCTTGGAGACATATGGTGATAAGAAGGATGAAAATGATGATGATGATTTTTTTGTATCAGGGAAGACTCACAAGACTGGGGAAACACCAAGAGAATGAAACACCACTTTTGAAAAAAGGAATACCTAAAACATTAGCTATAACTTTTATCACCCTTACATTATATTTGTGAACTTCAAGACATTTTTGCTCAGAGATGGTTCTATAAATCAAGTTTCCTAAGTTTCCTTTGTTTTTAGTGATGTTCCTTTTCACCTGCTGTTTATGTATACCAACAATGAGATGAGATTTAAGGAAGTCATTTTTTCTTATTGCCCTGAGACCAACTTGGCATAAATTTAGGGATACTTTCTAGATTTAGAAATGGTTAGAAGTAAACTATAAAGGCATGAGGCCTGGGAGTAAGAGCAACTATATTTCCTCCTTTCATTAAAAACAAAAATATTCATTAAAATATTCATTTGGATTTTACTATAGAACTGGGCTAGTTAGTTTTATAGGAAAATACAATGCTAATACCAACTGTGGTAGTGATTTATACAGATTTATTATAGATTTATAGAAAAATAAAAATGCTATTGAAGTTCTGCTATATTTACAATGCTACATTTATATACATGCACATATACCTCAATATTAATGATAAAATCTTATAGTTTTAAAGAGGCACATTTCCTCCCAGCCACCCATCTCTGTATATGCACAACCATAAGATAAGTTTTCATAAGCAATGTTTAGATTTGTGAAGGAAAAAAGTGAATATTTCCAATACCTAACCTCTTTCCTTTCTTCCTTTCCAGCTTTGGGACACAAAAGTACACAGAATTTTATGCACAAATTAAGGTTTTTAAGACCTGTGATCTATATTCACATATACCCAATGAGTTGGCTGCAATAGGTCAGAAGAATTAGAGCAATGTACTTGCATTGTAAAGCACTGAATAGAAGTGATCCTCTGCAGATTCACATAAACCCATGATATAAGAAGCATGTTTCTTAAAAGTAGCATTTTAACTATCCTGTATAACCCTAAGAATGAATCACCAATGAATACTTTTATGGTGCAACTGTTGATCATAATTAATCAATAAAGTCTCCCACCTAGCCAAAAACAACAACAACAAAAAAAAACAAGATGGAAAATAATATAAGCTAGTGATTGTGAAACAAGAAGGAATTCAAGATATGTAAATATCTTGAATGTTAATACCCAAAGGCAATGATTATAAGAGGATATCTGAACCTATCCATATTATTGAATACCTCTTAAAATTATGTAGCCCTGACTTCATGGGTACCTGAAACTTTGGCCTGCTCCCAAGAAAGTACTTGAGCCATAGTCTTTTATAGCAGAAAAGCAAAGAAAGACACTTCCAAGTGGGTATCTGTACTCCAATTTACCAATAGGACTTATCCTCTGTGACTATTTATATTCTTAATTCTCAATCAAGCCTAAAAAAAAAAAAAAAATCAGTTCTCATCTTTTTGACATTGCTGAGTGATTTAAAAGTTGCAGGATGTGAATACTAATATATCTGAAATGCTTATAAATAATCATCTTTTGGATAAAGGTAACAGCACACAGTCTTCTAAAGACTTGGTTTTGGTTTCAGGGCTTTGAAAAGAAAAGACTCTGGACCAGTAGGTCTTTCCACACCATTTTCTCAAGTTTACCTGACTATGAACCTTAGTCTGATAAGGCCCAGTACCTCTTCCTCATCAGTTTTATTCGGCAACATGGTGACGACATGGTTTCAAGGGTAATTTCCAATTACACCAGATCTGTCAATTTTGAGTCATTGAGATTACACAAAATTGGATTTGGCTTCTTTTCAAGTTTCACATTCATCACATAATCGGGATATGAAGCTTCCCATACAGAGGAGGTAGCATCCAAAGGAAGGAATGTGCTTAAATAATACACACTACCCAATTTTACAGCTGTCCTTTTATATTCAAATGATATTAAGCATACTGTCATGTTAAATTGAAAACATTTTAGATCTAAAAATATACTGTTGAAACAAACGACATAGTGAGAAACAAGACCAAAATCTATTTTTATAAAATATAGTCTATAATTTCAGATAAAAAATGCTACATACAACCATACTTAGATATCTTCTAAATTATAATCTGAGATTTACATTTTTTAAAAGTTTTCTCCAGTGAATTTCAAATTTAGTATTTTTAGAGTTTAAATCTCTATACTGAATCTTTATGTTTCTCTTTAAAACTGAATTGAGCAAAAATATAATTCTAAAACAAGATTCCTGACTTCAAAGAAATGTGTCTTCAGATAACCTTTCTCCTTAAAACATTAGAACCAATGCCCTTAAAACTATACTTCCTTTTTGACTGAATATTAAGTAGAAAAATTCATGATTTGGACTTCATTTTTATTTTCTTCTGGTTTTTGTATCCCTTCATGCTATTTTGACATCACTATTACATTTTATCAAACCTTCTCTCAAAACAAGTTGCCCATTGTATGTTGCTCTCAAGTATGTTATTGAAATACAACCTAAAGGAAGAGATTAAGCTTCTTGCTTCAATTTCCCTTATGCACCAGTGATAATTTCAACCCTAACAGTTGCCAGATTTGTACTTTTTATTCTGGATTCCTAATTATATAGGACAATTGAGGGTAATTCAAGAGTGTTTCAGAATCACATACTGCCAAGATTCTGGAAAATGTCTTTTGCAAAACAGAATGTTAATGCTCTGGGGACTCTATTGTATCTGCACCAACATGTTCTGAATGAGAAGGTAAAGGGCTAGGGGTTCATCATAACTAATACTGTAATGCCACTATGGGCTGACACTGTCAGTCAACAAATACTGAGAACCTATTTTGTTTCAATTTTTAGTTACATAGATTTGTATATTGTAAATTTCTAAAGATAACTGGTATAAACTCAGAAGGATCAGTTCGATATATATTTAAATGTACGGTCTTGTACAGATCTTATGAAAGTACTATAGACCATGAGTGTCTGTATCTAAATGATTAGAGGAAATAATGTTAGAATAGTCTAAAATGAAAATAATTCAATAGATGCTTTAGTTCTTAAATATCTCTTTATTTTAAACTGAACTATTGTAGGGAGCTATAAATAAGATCAACTTTTGGTCTGTTTCACAAAATAGCAAGTTTTATCCTGTTATCATGCTTGATGCTTTAAAAACTCTTGACCTTATCCTCATCTGCAATGAAATATTTTGGTATATTAATTTCTTTCTGGCTAAATCAGCAGTAGCCAGTTGTAATAACCAGCACGTGCACACACAAAGATGACAATAAAATAAAAAGGCCCAATAAAAAGTGTTAATAAAGTTCATTACAGAGAGGTGGCCCAGAAGGAAAGCCACGACTCCCTTTTCCATTTTATAAAATAGAGCACAAGTAGTATTCTGCAAGGCTACAAACTTGTACCATTTTTTGGTAGAAGTAGGATATTCGTTCTTTCTTTCTTTCTCCTTTCTTTCCCTTTTCTTTCTTTTTTTCATAAGCATCTACAAACTCTAAAGGTAGGCAAATAAGAACTATGAGACCAGTGAATTACTTTAAGCTACTTCTGCTATGCTAATCAGGTGACAGAAATCTGGGTTTCATATTAGGAGCCCTTCTAAATGGTTTAATTCCTTTACAGCTACCATTAGCTGTCAGCTTCACCGTGGATATTGTCCATGTGCACTTTGAGGTAGTCATTCCTTGTAAACTTCTTATGGCAAAACTGGCATTCTGCCAGTGGACGATTGGGATTGTGAGTCATCTTGTGTCGGATCAGCATTTTCTTTAGGCTAAAAGCCAAGTCACAAACCTAGAAAAGACCCAAAGATACCAATCATATTATGCTGAAAAACCTGAAGATATGTCAATTTATCATTTATACAATATACATTATGCATCATCCTATTATCAAGTATGAACTGACGGACACAAAAACAAAAATTGCTCGAAATAAATGAATTTAACATCCCAACTAAAGGGTAAAGAAAATTAATTATAGTTCCCAAAAGCTGTTTGCATTTAATGTGTGTGTCCTTTATACCCTAGCCACCCTCCCTCCCCCTCTGCTACTGTATTTAAATATGTCTAGAAATATAACTCCTTAGGAACAATGTTTTTCTTCCCATGATGGAGTATATTGACAATTTCATATTAAACATGTTAAACAAAAAGCCTAATGGCCCAGAGGGCATTGCTCCATATGACATAAATAGCACAAGACATGTCTTACCAGTGATCCCTTTGATTTAGTCCCCTTTATGAAGTAAAAGGTTAACATTGCTTCAAGCACCCTAAGTGGAAGTTTTTTACCCACAACTCTAATTCTTGATTTCTTATTACATACACTCATTTAACTAAGTCATCTAACATGTTTACTTCATATAAGCTCTGCCACATTGACACCTGGCCCAACAGACATTAACATTCCAATAAAAATATTAAATTACCACAGAAGATGTAAGGTCTTCCTGCGTCAGTACTTTCCCACTCCTCCTGAGGTAGCTTCCTCTTACTGATTCCTCAGGGAAGCCTATATGATCTGCCAGAAGTGCTCTGTTAATTGCTTTCATAGTAGTTTTTACTTTTCCCTTTTAACACTTATCCTGAATGTAATTACTTATTAGGTGATTTTTTTTTTTAATTGCCTCCTTACTGGTCTAAGAAACATTAGGGTAAGAGTAGTCATTCCATAAATATTTGTTGACTTAAAGAAAGAAAGGTAGACAAGATGTTAGATAGACAGGTAAAAGTCTTATGAGCAATGTAAGTACATCAAAGGCTGTGGAATAATTCCAGAGATCGAAGAAGGTAACTATAGAGATTATTTTCAAGTAAAAGAAACTCTAAGTTTTCAAACGGCCTTACAAGTATAATCAAAATTTGTTATCATAAATAACACAGAATTATAATGTATCCCCTATTTCTATTTCCCTGGTTCCTTCTCTAAGCCCCATGTAATGAACAATTAATGAACAAGAGATACCAAATTCCTCACTGACTTCCCACTGAAAGTAGATTCAAAATAAATTCCTTACCATGGTGAAAAGGCACATCAATTTGTTCTCCAACTTCATTTGCATCCCTTCTTTCTCACGATGCTCCAGCTGCACATGCCTTCTTACCAAATACCCAGACTCAGTTCCTTCCTACAGGCCATGATTTATACTGTTCCCTGAGCCTGGAATGTTCTCTTCCCTGTGGCTGACTCCTTCTCATCTTTTAGGTTACTTTGAGTTACTTTCTCAGAGAATTCTTTCTTAAGTATTCTTTTATGCCTCACCCTTCTCCTTTTTAAAATTGTTCTCAGTCTTTATCACAGAATGCAATTAGGTATTTATTCAGGTTTGTTTGTTCAATGTTTATATCGCACTGGAATGTGAGTTCTGTGAGCAGAGGGGACATAGTGTCTAGTTCACTGTCTCAATTCAATGTCTGGCACAGGGACTAGGTTGAAGGGCTAACATCAGCTTTCATTATGTGCCAGGAATTACTCTTTGCAATTTATAAACACTAACTTGTGATAGTCTCACCTCACACTCTTAGGCAGATATTAGTACTCTGAACCTCATTTTACAGAAGGAAACTGACACAGTCACTTCAGTGTCTCAAGCTGGTTACCCAAGGTCACAGAACTAGGAAGTGGTTTCCAGGATTTAAACCCACGCAGTCTGGGTTCAGAGTTTTTACAACCCCAAGGACAGACTATTATTAAAGGCTCGAACTTCAAACAAAGATATGTGAGCTGACTGTACTTTTTCCATCTGCCTGGCTGACACCATTTTTAAGAAATAAAAACCTCTTTGAAAAAATAAAGGAGGTTCTCAGTTCAGCCCACCAGTGTATTGTGAGGGATATAAGTCAAGTTCACTTACATGGTCACCATGGGAAAATTACAGCAGCAGCAAGCTGAAGAAATGGAAAGGAAGTTGAGCAAGATCCTGAAGTCATTGATAACGGATCTGAATTAAGGAATCCTAGAAGCTCCACATAGGAGCTGTGATGAGAACAACCCAATGGATTTTTGAATGAGGGCCAGGTAGAGGATTAAGTATCAGCAGAGAGTAGCTGATGTCACACTTGTGAAAGTGACTATCTACACATTAAAAGCTATGTTTTCATGAACTAAGAGATTTCAAACTGATGTTCTGTATAAATCAAACGCAAGGACATTCATGGTCATTTTAAAATTATGGGAAAGCATGAAAGAATTCAAATAGTGCAACAGGGATGCTTCCTTTTTTTTATTTTCACTTTAAGTTCTTAGCCAACCCATCCACCTACTCCAAATTAGTATTAATTCACCTGCCAAAGAATAGGAAAATGTTTTTTCTTTCTCTAGGCTGGCAATAAACTGATTTTGTTTTAAAATGAAGTGAAACAACACATTTATCAAAGTACCTTGAGAGATAATATTAGAATTCTATACAAACATCTTCAGTTAACGTTTATCAATAACATACAATGTTCCTTGCCACTTCAGTTAGAAACAGAATGACAGAGAGTACTCTGTCCTGCCCTGTGGGATCCATAGTCTTAAGGAGAAATATTTTTTGATGCCATGAACATATCGCTAGGAGAAGGAACAGAGGAGAGGACAATCAAGTCTTCCTGGATGTATGGATGTTGTCATGTTGTAAGGTGGGGAATGATAGCCCAGGGAGAAGGAAGAGAACATGCAAAAGTACAGGGGTATAAGAAGCAAGGCCTAGGTGGGGAGGTGAAAACATTTCACTAAGCCTGAAGAAACAGATTATTGGAGCAACAAATTGACATAAATAAGTAAGAGAAAAAACCTGAAAAAGAAGTTAGAGTTGAAGGCTGGAGCCAAACTCTGGAGGTCCTGGTAATCATAATAAGACACTGGAAAGATCTTCTCCAAGTTGTGGGGATTAATTAAAGGATTCTGAACAGAGACTAAAACGAAAATATCATTTAGTACCAAGCTCAGAGTATGACACTGGAGTCAGCATGGCCAGTACTATGATTCTACTCTAAGCCAGAAATTACTTGGATATCAACTAAGATAGCACTTACTGTTTCATTGATTCATGCTTTTAAAAATATTCACTAAACGTTTCTTTATATGCCAGGTAATGTTCTAGGCCTGGGGACATGACAATGAACAAGAAAGAAAAAAGCCCTTTTGTCATGGAACTTACATAATAGATGATAAATAATTAAACCAACAAATATGTAATATTTCAGGTAGATGTAAGTGTCACGAAGGCGAAGAAGAATATGGTGTGAGGGTTAAGAAAGTAATGGAAATAAGGAAGAGAAGAATTTTAGCAGAGAATTGAAATAAGTACAGGAGAAGGTTATAAAGATACCCGAGAAGGGTATTCCAGTCCAGGGAAGGAGCCAGAAAGAAAGAAAGAAAGAAAGACAGACAGACAGGGGCCCTATTCATTGAAATATACTTAGTGTGTCTGAAACAGCAAGGTAGTGATGTGGCCAGAGTGAGTGGTGGTAGTGAAGTCAGAGAGGTAGGGGCAGAAGGGTGGGGGTGCAGATCTGTAGGGACTTTCAGACCGTGGTAGAACTTCGGTTTTCACTCTAAATGGGAAGGACAGTCATTGGAGGGTTTGAGCAAAGGAGTGAAATATAATATATATGCAATCTGTATCTAAAATATATAAAATCTGAATCAGGTTCTAGAAAGATCACTCTGTGTGGCAAGCTTAGGACAGACTGGGAGGAGCAAAGATCAAAGAGAGATAAATTAAGGAACAACTGCATTACTGTAGGAGACTAAGATGTTGCTGGGGAGTTGTCAAAAGTGTTCCGATTCTCAACTTATTTTAAATGTACAGCCAATCAGATTTGCTAGTGGATTAGAGGTCAGAGGTGAGAAAAAGAGAAGAGTGAAAGTGGTAATGAAAATTTAAAGAAGATAATAAGTTTGAGAAATATATAGAAGGAAAGACTGTCAGGAGTTGCCGGGACTGAATGGGAGAGCTAGTTGGGTTTGGGCCCTAGAATCCTGACTTGGCCAGTTATAAGTGGTAGAGAAGAGGTAGGTCACTCAACTTCAGTGAGCCTCATTTGATTCACAGAGGTGGAAATCACACTTGGGTACTTCTGGGGTACAGGGCAGATCAGTAAGAATATATATAAACTGGATCACTGTGTCTTTCTCATAACAGAAGCTCAACTAGATGATGCTATTGGTCACGGCTTAGGGAAAAAATGTCTGGCACAAGGCTCAGAACTTTGGTTTGGGTTATATGGAGATGGTGGGGCCCTCAGAAAGATGTACAGGTAAAGAGAACATGTTGAGTGACTGAGAAGGCTGGGGAGATACTGATTTCAGTCTGGAATATAGGAGAGATGCCTTCCAGGCAGCTTCAGAGTATCTGCCTAGAATTCAGAAGAGAAACCCAGGCAGGAGAAAGAGAGATTTGGAAGTCTTCACCCTAGGGATAGTAGCAAAGATACCAGAAGCTCAATACCTGTGGCACACTGGGGTTGCTGTACGGCATGGAACGACTGCATCTAAGGGGCTAGTGTTGATGCGTGAAGTGGCATTTGAGCAATATTATAAAGAACTGAGGTCAACATATATCAGTTTTTTTCTTTACAGTTTTGCTCAAATGCCACTCAAATGTCATACATGTGTGTGTTTTTTTGTGTGTGTGTTTGTAAATGCCAGTCAGGAAGTATGAACAAGAAATAAAGAGGACTTTCCAGGAGGAGGAAATGGTGCATGATACCACATGGGACAAGGGACAGAGATGCAGAACAGCATCACTGCTTCAGGAGACTCAGAGTTCATACAAATAAAATGCAGACTACTGACAGATAAGAGATTATTAAAATTTTAGTAATAAGAATTGACAAAAACCAGAATAACTAACTTTTCAGTCAAGTAAGAAGGTGGATTTTACTCTATGGGTTGTGAGACACTGTCACAAAAAAGGGCATGATTAGGTTTACTTTGAGACAATCACACTGGGACATAAAAACGATTTTAAGAGAATACTATGAACTGTATGCCAACAAGTTAGATAACTCAGATGAAATGAACAAGTTCCTAGAAGAACATAAATAATCAAAACTGATTCCAGAAACAGAAAAACTCCAGAGACCAGTAACAAGTAAAGAGATTGTATAAAAAAACAAATAAACAAGCAAGCAAACAAACAAAAAAACAAACAACCCACCAAACAAGAAAAAAACTTCCCAAAAAAGAAAAGTCTAGAACCAGACAGTTTCACAGATAAATTCCACCAAAAATATAAAGATGGATTAACAATAATCCCCTCAAATTCTCCCAAATAACAAAGAAGAGGGAATACTTCCTAATTTGTTCTGTGAGGCCAGCATTACCTTAATACCACAGCCAGGCAAAAATATTACAAGAAAAGAAAACTACAGGCCAATATCCCTTCTGAATATAGATGCAAAAATCTTCAAACAAACAAACAAAAAAAAAAACCAAAAACTCTAACAGGCCATATTCAAAGTTATGACCAAACAGATTTATCCAGACCGCAACAGTTGATCAACATAAGAAAATCAAACAATGTAATACACCACTTTAACAATACAAAAGATAAAAAAAATTATCATCTCTGTTGATGAAGGAAAGCCTTTGACAAAATCCAACATCCTGTCTTGATAAAAATATTGAAAACTAGGAAAGAAGGGAACTTCTTCAACATAGTAAAGGGCATTTATAAAAAATTCACAGCTAACATCACATTGAATGGTGAAAAACTACAAACTAATGCAAAAGAATGGACCCCTACTTCACACTACATTCAAAAATTAAACAGATCAAAGACCTAAATGTAAGACTTAAAACTATCGGGCGCCTGGGTGGCTCAGTGGTTAAGACCTCTGCCTTCAGCTCAGGTCATGATCCCAGGGTCCTGGGATGGAGCCTCGCATCGGGCTCTCTGCTCAGCAGGGAGCCTGCCTCCTCCTCCTCTCTCTTTCTGCCTGCCTCTCTGCCTACTTGTGATCTGTCTGTCAAATAAATAAAAATCTTAAAAAAAAAAAAAGACTTAAAACTATCAAACTTAGAAACAGGAGAGTAAATCTTCATAACCTTGAAATTGACAAGTCTTAGATCTGTCACCAAAAGCATGTTGAGAAAAAGGAAAAAAAAAACAAACAAAAAAAAACAAATAAATTGGATTTCAACATTGAAAACAATTTTTTTAAGATTTTATTTTTTTTTTAAGTGATCTCTGCATCCAACGTAGGGCTCAAACTCACAACCGCCAGATAAAGAGTTGCACGCTCGACCAACTGAGCCAGCCAGGCACCCCCAACATTGAAAAGTTTTGTGCATTAAAGGATATTATTAAAAAAGTGAAAGATAACTTATGGAATGTAAGAAAATGTCTAGTATCTAGAAAATACAAAGAATACTTACACTCAGCAACGAAAAGACAAATAACAAAATTTTTAAATGGGAAGAAGACTTGAATAGATATTTCTCCAGAGAAGATACAAATGCCAACAAACAAGTATATAGAAAGATGCTCAATATTATTAATCCTTTAGGAACTTTAAATCAAAGCCACAATGAGATATCACTTCACATGCCCTAAGGAGACTATAATTTGAAAAAACAGAAAATTACAAGCGTTGACAAAGACGTGGAAAAACTGGTATTCTCAGGCATTGCTAATGGGAATGTAAAATGGTGTAACTAGTATGAAAAACAATACAGAAGTTCTTTGAAAAATCGAACAGAATCACCATTTGACACAGCAATTCTACTCCTAGGTATATGGCCCAGAGGATTTAAAACAGGTACTTAAATACCTGTAGGCACATGTTTGTCTCAGAGCAATTCACAACAGCCAAAAGGGAGAAACAACCCAAATGTGCATCAATTATGAATAAACAAGTTGTGATATATACATACAATGGAATACCATTCAGGGAGTGATGTACTGATACAAGCTACAAAGTTGATAAACCCTGAAAACATTATGCTAAGTAAAAGAAGTCAGTCACCAAAGTCACATCCTATATGATTCATTTACATGAAATACCCATAACAGGTCATCTATTGAAATGAAAGAAGATTGGTCCTTGTCAGGGTCTGTGGAGAGTAAGGAATATCTCCTTAGTGGGTACAGAACTTTATTTTGGGACATTGATGTCTGGGCATGAGATAGAGGTGATGGTGGCACAACATTGTTAATGTACTCAATGCCAATGAATTGTTCACTTTAAAATTATTGATTTTATGTTATGTGAATTTTATCTCAAGTTAAAAAAATTACGTTGGCTGGGTGGAGAACACAGGGACGGTGAAGGTTACGCACTGCTAGTGGGACTGGAAACTGAGAGGAATTAATAGATTTGAGTGTTATTTAGGAAAAAGAAAGACGCGAAATGGGTGAGAAAGGATGACTTCTATCCAAAATGAGTAGGTTAAGAGGGTAAGATTTTGGAACAAAGACAGCCTCTATTGAGCAGGCTGCATTTCAGGGAGGTTCTGGAGGCCCTCAATCTCTATTCAGTGGACCAGTTTGAGCCACAAATAAGAACCAGAGACTTCTGAAAAAAGGATAGAAATAGATGAGATAGAAGTAAATTGAAAAAAATAATGCTTGTAACATTACAGTGTTTTTTTGTTTTTTTTTTTTAATAACATCATGGTCCCGTTTACCTTAGGAAGTAGTTGACAAAAAATATTGAGCATAAAATGAAAGTTGAGTTGAATGTGATGGTAGGAAGGTGTCTGTATATAGTTAATATTTAATTTCTATGCCCCATCAGTTATTTGTGTAGCTGTACAATTAAGTAATCTAAACAGGTTTTGCCTATATGAAAATGTTTCCAATAAAAGCACTAATGAATTAAACCAATTGAAATTATGAAGCTGGGGCTATACCTCCGGTTCAGGATAGAGCTACATGTGTACATTTCTTTCTTTGCAAGTACTTCTTGCCTTAAAGAATTTCACTGTTCATACAGGTATTTTTATGAGTAGGCCCACTGGGAGTACATTGTTGCCTTAACCTTACCACCAAAGTTTCATGGATGGACAAGGAAAACATCTTGCGTTTGTGAGTTTCCTTTCATGTGGACTGCTTAACACCGTGCTTTATCCGTTGGGATATGCTAATGGGACGAAGTCTTCGAGTTTCCCTCCACATTTAAAGAGAATTCTCTACTGTGCAATTTCACACACTACAACTTTAATGTTCCTTCTTCTACTGAGGTACATTAATGCTCTTCTTGCTATTTTTGTGTTAGAAATAAGCATCCAAGTGTTTTCCCTAAAGCCTGTGTCAATCTTCTGTAGGCTGTCAATCTTATACAGAATTGTGATACTGTTTATTGAGAAACCAATTTTTTCCCTTAATTAGTTAACACTCAGATTCATTTTACTGACGGTGGTAGTATTTTTCCTTTCATAAATAGTGTAAACTACTGTGTTTATAATTTCATTTCAATTCAAATGTCATTAGCAGAAAATCTAAACAATTAGCAATATTATCGAAACAAAGGAGTTTGTTCATGTTTTAGAAATTGATGGTTAGGCTGTAATGAAATAAATAGTATCTATGACCAGTTGAATCTCTGATTTAAGTATCATGAACCTATCAAAGTTCTGGGTAGACACATGAAAGCTGCCTTGAATCATCACACACTTATATCTTGAAAGAACAACTCAATTGCATTAAAAAAGGATGCAAGCGTGCCTTAAAGAAAATCAGAGTTTATTTGCTGCCAGCAAACTGGGATGAACAAAACGACTCCATAGTGGTTACATGGATTATGCAATCAAAACATACCAGCAGCGCAAGATCTCAACAGAAAGACCAGCCTGCAAAACATACACACACACACTCATACATACACACATCATGCGTAGACACACACACACACACACACACACACACTTCCAGCACATCTGTTACTGGAGGACACTGGGGAAAGAAAAGAGAAACCAAACTCACATCACACTGAAAAGGCTTTTCTCCAGTGTGCGTCCTCTTGTGCTCATCCAGGCCTCGCTTCTGGCTGAAGGCTTTGCTGCACTCTGAGCACTTGTATGGCTTCTCCTGCAGTCAGTGGAAAGAGATCACCATGAATCTGAGTGAACTTAGAGCCTTCCCTACTAAGGTATGCTGGCGGTGGGGTGGTATTTTATCTAGTTCTATAGGGTGCCACAGCAAATCCAGAGGGGTACAATGAGTTATTTTAAATGCTCGTGAGGAACAGCACTACTCAACCTCTGCTGGACAAACCGAACTACTTGCTCATGGCAGTTCACAGTTCCAGCATGAGACTGTGGGACATTTCTTTTAATTACATCGTACCTTTGCAAGGCTGGGTTCTGAATGATTGACATGATCTAACTACTAAAACAACTGAACTCTTAGGTTTTCTTCTGGATTGGTGGGCCGCAAAATTTCACTGAGATACTAAGGGCGTCATGGACCAAGAGAATTTGCAACCCCTAAACTAGATGGTGCAAATTGTTCACTATCTCAGAGGCATTCCCGGGAATGAAAACTTCAGGACAACATTGTCATCAGATTTTGGGGGTAAGTTTAAGAAGATGTGAGATATATATATATATATATATATATATAAAATGCAGCCATCAAAAAATGAAATCTTGCCATTTGCAATGATGCAGATGGAACTAGAGGGCATTATGGTAAGAGAAATTAGTCAATAAGAGAAAAGACAATTATCATATGATCTCACGGATATCAGGAATTTGAGAAACAAGACAGAGGATTATAGGGGAAAGGAGGGAAAAACGAAACAAGACAAAACCAGAGGAGACAAACCATAAAAGACTCTTAATCTCAGGATTCCCCTGTATTTTCTTACATGTTTTAGATTGATGATTTCCCCCCCTGTATTATCACAGAAGTTATGAGCACTATTTCTCTTAGTGGTTATCCTTAACAAATCTACCATATACATTTAACACAATTTAAAATTTATCCTACTGAATAACAAGTCCTGAAGAATGCTCCTGTCTTACATGTTATGTGTAGCAGTATTTTATTTGTGTCTTGATTTTTAATCCTGATACAGAATCATTATTACTTTACATACCAATGTGGTTTAGATTTATACATGCTTAACAATTTCTTCACTTCTCATCCGTTCCTATCTGACTTTGAGAGGATCTGATGATGGTAAATTCTGTTTTTATTGGATTGAAAATGACTTTATTTCTCATTTGTTATTTATTGAAAGTCTAGAAATCCAATTAGATGTATAACAGACTCTATTTTTCATGTCTCTTAATCATTTCCATCTCTTTGTATTGGGCCACATGTAATTTCTTTAGATTTAGTTGATCAATTATCTTCAGGTATGAATAACTTGTTAATAGTTACATTTGAGTTTTTAATTTATATTATATTTTAAACTTTTGTAAATTATTTGATTCTTTTCAATTATGCTTAATTTTTGACAAAATCTTATTTTTTACTCGTTTGCTTATATCTATTTCAAAATATTCTAGACATTTGTATAATTTGCCTCATCTGATAAATCATTATCTTAAGTTTTTTGGAAATTTAATTCTGCTATTTGTGGTTTCTCCTGTCTCCTGTTCATGGCTCTTGTTTCCTTGGGTGTTTTTGGAATTTGGAATCCTGGTCTCATGTTTGGTGGTCTTTATCTGTTAAAATTCCGTGACCCCTAGGTTGAGGGTAAGTCCCTCCAGACAGCATTTGTGTTTGCTTCTGCCAGGCATTCTGGGATGCTATCAATCAAAGACCATTTTAAGTTTATTTCTTGCCTTAGGGTTTTCTGGTCAGGGAAGCATTTTAAGTCTGAACTCTAAACACACTTGAGGGAAAGACTGTGGTTACAAACTCTAAGGAGAACTCTTTCTCTAGCCAGCAATTACTCTGAGACAATTAAATGTAGAAAGCACGTCCATTTGCCAAGGTAGATTATTTCCAGTTCCTGATTTCATTTTGAGTATCATTTTTCTAGGGTCCCAGCACTGTGGTGGGATGTGGTTCCATCTTGCCCTATAACCTAAGCCCAGAGCTTGCTTCCTTTTCCATCACCATTAAAAACTGAAACTTGAGTTTACAAATACTGGCAAACACCCCGAAGGTGTTCTCATTCTCAACCTCACCTTATTACTCTGGCATGTGGCTGCAGTTTGCTCTGTTGGATCCTGGGGATTACTGTTACCTACCCCCCCCACACACAAGTTCAGATATTTGCTATTTGCTTTAATATATCCAGCAAGGATAGGTGTTTTATATAGGGCCTCTATATTTTAAACGACCGTTCAAAGTTAACAGAAAAACACTACATTTTCTTGGCAGTCCAAAAAATATGTTTACTGCTTTTTTCATCTTGTCTAAATCAACACAATCTCTTTTCACATATTGCATGGTTTTTGGTGCTTATTATTTCTTCAAATATTGCCCAGGGTTTGTTTGTTTGTTTGTTTAAGAAAAACTTGAAAATGTAACTATAAGTATTTAAATCAGAAACTTCCTGGAGTTCCTGGGACTTGTATTATATCCAAACATTTTACTTAAACTTATATTTTAAAAACATATAAAGATATATCAATATGATGTATATGAAAAGAAAAAAAAGGAAAGCTCTTCTCCCTACCCACAATTTACCCACAGAACAAGATCTTGTAAAGAAGTAAGAGGCACATCACTGTGGCAACTGCAATGACAGGTAAGTATCTGTCAGAAAACAACCCAAGACAGGACCAATTATCGGGATGACATCCTAAGAGAGTGACGCAAAGTTTCCAGGAGAAAAAGGCAGTGAAAAACAAGGTCTGAGCATCACTGATTAAGAACATTCTTCTCATTCATTCCTAAAGGAAATTTAGGTATTAAATTAGCAGGTACTGTGTGCGTAAGCACCCTACAGTGCCCCATGGGTGCTGAGAAAGGTTCTGAGCTAGCATACGGAGATTCTGGCAAGACAAGGGTTTTGCAGTTATCACAAGTTTTCAAAAACTCAAATGTGTATTATGCATTGGCTCGGATTGAATAAGTAACATTTACACACACACACACACACACACACACACACACTCACCCCCTCATATATTAGTATTTTTCAAATTGGTCTTTGTCAAATAATCACTGTTGATTATTTTAATACACTTTATTTACAAATGCCACTGAAATTATATTACCTTCACTTAATCATTTTCACCTATAAAAGAACAATCATGTGCTTCTATGTGTGTGTTGGCAGGGAGGTGGAGTTGAAGTTTATAATGTTAGGTTCCTCTAATTTCAAAAAATTGAGAATTATAGTTGGAAAAGGGACCCATTTGATGAAGTAGTTCTGGGTCTGCCTGGATTCACTCTTTTCTACCAGGAACCATTTGAAGCCAAAGATTCCCTTAGATTTTGTCCTAAGATTATTAGCTCTAAGTCCTTAGGCCGTAGCAAGTATAGTAGGAAGAACCCATGATTGCCTTTCATATGTCTGTCCATCTCTTTTATCCCCAAGTCTTAAACAATCTGTAGTTTTCCTGAAGATAGTGCAAGGAAGGTTATAATTCCTGACAGATTTGGTGAGAATGCCATATACCACTTCTTGGAAAGAACTTTAATGCCCATCCTTGAAAACATTCCATTTTTTTTTTTTTAAAGATTTTACTTATTTATTTAGAGAGATAGAGAGCATGTGTGCCTGCAAGTGTGTGAGAGCAAGTGGGCGGAGGGGCAGAGGAAGAGAGAATCACAAGCAGGCTCTGTGCTGAGCATTTGAACCTGATGCAGGGCTCAGTCCCACGAACCTGACATCATGACCTAAGCTGAAATCAAGAGTCAGACACTTAACCAACTGAGCCACTCAGGCATTCCTGAAAAGATCCCAATTTACAGAGAATAGTACCAAAGCAAGTGTGAGGGAATTCCTGACCCAGTAACCAGCATTTATACCAAAGGCAGAGCCAGATGATCACCGGTCACTCATTTCAAATTTAAGAAAACCAAATGAACAGAAATAGGAAGAAGAAAAAAAGTGCATTTTATTTTTCAGAAAAAGAGAAACAAAACCAAACCCTCATCCCCCTTCTTTATTAATTTCTTCCCAATTATTCCTAGTCTGCCATATGAAAGAAATACCACCTCTCCTAAGGTAAACGTAGTTGGGCACAGAGAGAAAGCTGAGTGGTACAAAGACACCTAAAACTGTTCTTCTTCTCTTTTTCTCTGGGAATTGTGAAAAAAATCTATGTCACCTCTAGAGCATTCCTAAATATTCCTACCCCTAACTTCTCAGTCTAGAAGAATCCACGCTTGTGTGCAAGGAAGGAAGAGAACTTCAGTCTCTAATCTTCGCTGTCTGCCCTTACTATAAGGTTCACTGAGGATGACAGGGACTAGACAGCTACGTAGTGGTTGATGCAGCAAGAGAACATGTGACACAGAAAGCTTAAGAAATCTTTGAGTTCTTACAGTCAGGTTAGGCAGCAGAGGTAAGGCTGAGGTACCTGCCACCTTCCCAAGTACACACTGTTCCACAATCTACAGGCTGGTCTGGCTGAAGTGTTTAAGCAAGTTCGGAAAGCAATGGACTGCCAAAGGCCCCGATGCTCCTCCCCCACGAAGAACCCATACACTAGCAGCATTTTAACATTAACCATCTCCTAACTCCACTAATTCTCTTCCTCCATCTCTCCCTCCATTACAAAAATCTTTAATATGGGCACAAAATCTGATTCAATAAAATATCACGGAAATTGTAACACTGTTTCTGAGGGGAATATGTAGTATAAATTACACATTTTAACTCATTAGCTGGATTTAACCGGAGACAAAATGATTAGGTCCTTGATTAGTTCTTTTTCTGAATGATTACACAGTTTAACTGACAAATAGCTTGTCCTTTGTCATCATAACTGGGGAATCATTACTAAATGGAGGCAATCTATTTGTCAGTTAAACTGTGTAATCTGTCAAAAGCAGAATTAATCAGTAGTCTAATCAGTTCTCTTTAATCAAACAGCATTTGGCAGAATTCATTCAGAAGGTAAGATTTATAGAGCTCTACACCTTGTACCTTGTTATGTAGCTAATAATAAGTCCTA